TATGTTGGACAAATTTAAACTAGTACGACATCAATAAGAGTAATTCAAATTTTGTTTTGTACTACTTAAGGAAAAGTATCCTCCATTTATCTAAAATAATAATATGGGACTAAGCTTTATTGTTATGAAAAAATGATTCCCTTACCTAATTTGGACAATAATGTGGTCAAATATGACTACTGAAACCCAAAGCAATCAATCATGAAAAATTCTCAATACTGAAAAAGTGTAACAAAAGCTAATAATGCCTTAACTTTGAATGAGTTTTCCAAAGTTGAAATTAAGAGGCATGCATGCATGTGACTGATTTGACAAATGTAGTTAGTAATGTAGGAATCAAGTACTATTAGCCTCTTTGCCAAATTGTCATGCATGTGTGCCTAAACAATGTAAACCCTCTTTTAGCTCTCACCTTTTTTTTAATAACAATGTAGTGAAACAATATGAAAGTAGCAATTCCTAATTTGTCAGATAAAAAAGATGATCTTATAATCATTTATAAATTGAATGGTATGTAATGAAATTATATGAAAGTAGCAATTCCTAATTTGTCAGATAAAAAAGATGATCTTATAATCATTTATAAATTGAATGGTATGTAATGAAATTATATGAAAGTAGCAATTCCTAATTTGTCAGATAAAAAAGATGATCTTATAATCATTTATAAATTGAATGGTATGTAATGAAATTATATGAAAGTAGCAATTATGACCATTTACAAAATGATGTATAATGAAACAATATGAAGTAGCAATTCTGTGTTTGCCAGATAAAAAAATTGCCTCCATTTACAAATTGAATAAAAGAAAATAATATGATTATATCTTTTATATATAAAAATAATTACCTTTCATTATAAAAATGAAAATCTCTTATAAAAATAGATGGAACAATACACTTTTGTAGTTGCAGTGACTAATGTCATGACCCGTCACTTTGCCATTCAAATAAGAGATAAATATAAGGGGGGAGAAACTATCCAAGTCTGTGACACTAGTCCCTTAGTTACAGCAAGAATCCTTTGGTATCTTTACAAAGCAAAAAATAATGTAATATTTGGAGTGGAGCAAGATAGGGTTGAGGGGTTCATTCGAATTTCGTTCGATGAAAAATTATATTGTTTATATATAGTAGATAGTGAACCCTCTTAGACTTTTTTGTGTGTTCGAGTTTTTATATTTTGAAACTCTTTATTGAAAATCCTGCTTCTGCCGCAGATAATGATGTATCATTCTATGATAAAAGACGGCTAAAACCAATGGACCTGAAGAAAACATACTAACGCGATTAAAACTTAACCCCAATTAATAGACATTATATATATAAATCTTTCGAGATAAATTTCTTTTATGTGATTTTAGGCCGTCTATCATGTTTTCTCTTTCGTACAACACCTTTTTCCAAAGGGTGGCCAAGTTATTGAGCCTGAGGCTAAATCACAAAGAGACCCATGAACTAAACAACCCAATAGTAGATTTGCTTTAGGTTGAGTACAATCCAAGTAATTGTCATCTGCATTTTGGGAAATTCAAGGAAAAAGGAATTATATCATTCAAATTCAATAAACAAAAAAAATACAATACTTATTGTGAGTAAAGTAAAATAAAAACAAATCTCCATTTGTATAATTACAGGTTGTTTATAAAGTACTTAAGAGTTAGAAATTAATGATAATGGTACTATATAATATATATAGATGATAAAATACTGAGTTTTAATTTCAGTTAAAATGGTACTTCAAAGTCTAACCCTTGGATTAACATGATCATTTGGAGCATTATTTTTTTTTTAAATTATTATTTTTTATAATTTATATTATATAGTTTATTAGATAAGTTTGCAATTGAATAAGCTTGCAATTAAACAGATAGCTTAAAGACAACATATAATAACTTTTAATATATTTAAAAGTCAAATATTAAATCCAATAAAACCATAAAATTTAATTTTAAGGATCACAACAACAGAATTGCCCAAAAGGTGGAACACATTGGCCAGACTTAAATCCTATTCTTTTGCAAAATTCATTACAATCTGGATAGTTCTCACATTTTCCTTGGCACACTGGTGATTTTTCTTCACCAACACTTCCTCTTGCCACCATCACTTTGACAAACAAAAATAAAAATAAAAAATGAAATGAGAAACATAAGTGCAATAAATGTTGAAATTAACGAGTCGTGGTTGAATCAGAATTTTCAGTAAGAAGAATTAAACTATAAAGAAATAAACACAGGAAGAAGATTGATAAGTGGATTAATCAACATCTACTATAAAATGTAATTTTCCATCAAAGAGGATTCGAAATTCGAATGAGCCCCTTCTGTCTCCTATAGCTATACCTCTAAAAACAAGTATTTAATTTAAATATAAAAAAATAAATACACGAAGTAGATGAGAGGATTCAATGTGGTAGAACCCTCATTCCACCTCTCTAGCTCCGCCCTTGAAAACAAGTAATTTGATCTACAAACATTCGATGTAAAAATGTTTATTCTAAAATAATTTTTTGTATTTCTTTTTTAATTCGACGTATATCGCATGAACCTGACTAACACAAAAAGGCATGATAAAATTCAAAACGAGCACGATCGTAAATACATTTATGTGTTCATGAAATAAATGATAATCAAATGAATAGAAAAAAAAAATCATATAAATCACATTTACATGTACTTACCCACTGTGAGAAGCAAGAGAATGAGAAGAGCACTCCTTAAGATTTTTTCAGCCATGATAGAAAAATAGACTGATTTTGATTTCTATAATTTAGGGTTTATAAATGACTTTTAGAGTGGTACCATAGTATATATAGGTGGTAACATATATATAGTTGTAGTTTTTTTTTTTTTTGTTTAATTAATATTTTATGTGTTTTGGTCAAATTAGTACTTAATGTGTGACTGTTCAATTAACTTGGTCATTTATTTTATTAAATTAATACGTAACTGTTCAATTTATAACCTGGTGATCCTTAAAATATTACTTTTAACAAAGATTATCCTTCAAATCTTTTTAATTTGAGCAATTTTGATTGGTTTTTAACCTCCCGTGTTAGATTAACGTAATCTTACTTAGAATATTACTTTTAAGTAAAAATTATCCTTCAAATGTTCCTAATTTAAGCATTTTTAATGATTTGTCACCTCAAGAGTCACGTGTTAAATTAATCTGGCCCATCCTTAAAATATTACTTTTAACAAAGATTATTGTTCTAATGCTCCTAATTTGAGCACTTTTAACGACTTATCACCTCACATGTTAGATCAATTTGATAATCCTTAAAATATTACTTTTAACAAAAATTATCCTTTAAATATTTTTAATTTAAGCACTTTTAACGATTTGTCACTTCATGTGTTAGAGAATGTTATGTCCATCATCATATTCATATGAAAGTTTTTGTAGAGTTAATAATATAATTTTATGGACGACTTCACCTGTTATAAAGTTTGTATTGGATGTTTGGATTCATTTACATGTCGTATCAACACCAAATTTGATTGTGAGCCCATTTTGTATATGTTTCAGCCCGTCAAGCCATTAACACTTCAGATCCATTCATTAGTCTGTTGAGCCCAATTTAATTTGTCTCTAAATAGGGTGGGAAATTTTCAAAATTGACGATAGTTTGGGCTTAATAAGAAATTTATAGCTATAGTTTGTTTAATTACGAATTATAGCTACATGCTTGGGGGAAGAGAGAGGCAAGCGAGAGGAAGAGAGAGGCGAGCAAGATCTAGGAGAGAGAAGAGAGATGTGAGAGAGGTTGAATACTTGTTATATTTTTGTATCAGGTTGTATCGCGAATACAATTGATACAACTTTTTTGTATCAAACACTATTGTATTTGGCTACATATTAGGAGGAGAGAGGCGAGCAAGATCTTTAGAGGGAAGAGAGAGGATGAGTACATGTTGTATTCGTTGTATCACGAATATAATTGATGCATAATTCATATACAACTGATATAAAATACATATATAATTATGAATATAATTAATTTTTATCATGTATCGAATATAATTATACTATAATTTATTTTTTACCCTTGATCAAAGTTTCCTATTCGATTTTTTTTATCATACAAAATACTTCTTTCTTTAGCTGCCTTACGCAGTTAAGGCGAATGAAAAACTAATTAATCAAAACCTCAAGGTGCATATCAATCAATCTAGAAAAAATGGACAAAAAGAATAAACGATCAATACTCACAAAAGTTTTAACTATAACATGATGATACTGTAAAAGAATTATTAGTTAACTATATTCGAAGATTCGAGAGGTAAAGAAAAGAAGATTGACAAGTGCATTCAATATCTCTATATTGTATCTAGTGTAACTAGTAAAATTATTCGCGCCTTGTGTGAAATTTAATATGACGAAATTTATGAAATAATACTTAAAATCTATCCGTCATTAAAATTAAAACATTATATTATTTTACATACAAGATTACGTAGTAACAAACATTAATAATGTAAAGGAAAATGATAATTATAACATCTTATCATTTATCCTTCAATCAATCATCTTTAATTTGATTTTATAATTTATCATTTTGCTTCCAGGAAGTGTTACTATTTGATATTTTGGGGAATCAAATGAATATCAACCCAAGATATTAAATTTTCTAATAAATAAATAATCACTGGCAAAGGGATAAATAAATTTTAAAAGGCTCTGCCTTTTGCTTTACATATATCAGTTTAATATTCCCCATTTAAATGTATCACAAATAATTATTGAAATGAAAAGTTAAAGTAAATAAATATTCTAATTCTAACGTATAGAAAATTTGTATGAATACTCAATTAACGTGTGTTATTATTATTATTTTTTAATTCAAAAGAGCCAAAGGCACAAATTTTATAGCTCCATAAATATGTACACAAACAGACCTAAAAGGCTGATGGGTTAAGGCCCAAAAGCCCACCACATCAGCCTAACAAAAGCAATAAAGACAACAACAAAATCAGCAAAAACAAAAAGAGACGAACAGGAAAATGAAAAGACAAAGGCAAGAAAAGGAAATGTCAAGAACACAGCTTCTCGATCAACCACGCCGGAGCAAGACAGCCACCAATGAAGATAATCGAAGGCAAGCTCGCCGGTTTTGAAAATCGTGAAGGTAGTCTTCTTGAACTTCTCTTCGTCACTGGTCGAAACTTCAATAGTTAGCTAGATCTAACTTGAATCATTCCTTAAATGCAAGATTGAGTTGATTTCCTGGTTCGATTCCAAGTTTAGCGGTCTCAAAGCTCTCACCAGACGCTGTGAAATCAAAATCCAAGATGAAGTTGAACTTAATCAGCTTTTCTATGCGATGACTCAAAAGGTATTTCTAACTTTTTCTCTATAGAGCTGAAGACAAAACTCAATTGAATTTAATTAACTTTTGTTCAAACAAAAATTTACAATGGAATGAGCCTAATACAAGACTAATACCACACTTAGTAAATTTGTTATTTGTACATCGGTCAAATAAAATCAATCAAAAAGATGGCTACATGTAGTTTGAAGTTTTGCTGTATTGAATCTTTGCTTCTGATTTTTATGTGATGTATTTGTCTGCCCGTTTTACAATTTGAATAATTAACATCAATCTGGCTCCCTATTTCTGAATGTGTTGAGCCTTAGTTGTGGGATTTGTTGTTTGTCGATGTTGAGTAACCTTCTAGCTTGCAATGGTAACTCTTGGAAACAATTGTATTTTAGATCTTCTGTCCCTGCAAAAGAAAAAACTTCATTAGCTAAAAAATCTGCAGCTTTTTGTTTGAGAGATGCTAATGGGGATTTGATATATGCTGAAGCAAGAAGATTAGGGGTAACTAACAGCTTATGTGCAGAAGCTACATCTATTCAAGAAGGTGTTAGATTCTGTATTGAACAACAAAGGACTCCAGTTCTAATAGAGTCAGATTCACTATCTATGATCAATATGATTGAAGAATAGATGGGAGACTCCATGGAAGATTAGAATGGAGATGAACAAAATTAAATATTGGAGGAGTAAAGGGATAGTGCATTTTGCCCACATCCTTAGGGACATGTACTCAAAAAGAACAATTAATATCATTAACACAAATTAATGACCGTAAAAAAATATGCCAAGATCTGTAACAATAGAATGAAACAAAAAGAAAAAAATCGAGTTCACAGTTGAATGTACAATGTCCCCCCTTAAAGGATTTATTCTCATCTAGTACTGAGTTTTAAAGGAATAGTTCCGATCCTCTCATGATAACACAATTATATTCACTAGTGTATTGATAAAAAAACAATGGTGTTAGTGAGCCACTCAACATGACCAAGTACACAAATACTTAATTATGTAGAAGAGGAAGAAGAAGAAGTTTAGAATTTATGTTGTTTTAAAATGAAAGGAAATCCCTCTATTTATAGACAACAAAGGGTAGTGTAAACAAATGTTTATTGTGCCTTATTAGAAATGTCACAACTCCGAAAAGTTACAACGCTTCGCGAAGGATACAAACTTTCATAAAAGTCGCAATTCTTCATAAAAGTCACAACTTTTCATGAAAGGGGAAGACTAGTTTTGGAAATAAATAAATTAAAAGGAAATCATGATTTGTGGTGGTGCCACGTAGGAATTCTCTTTATATATATATATACTAAAAGGAAATCATGATTTGTGGTGGTGCCACATAGATAATTATTTCCTGTGGATTTTAAAATCCACAAATAATTTACCTAGAGAATTAAATTTCACAGGTAAATTACTTGACAAAAGAATCTTATTTGGTATTTGTGGCATTTATTATTTTAATAATTATATTTTAACATACTTAATTATATAATATTTGTAAATAAATATCATTTAATAACTTACTATAGAGAAATTATATAATTTTAATGCTTGCGAAAAATAAATATCAATTGGATATACAAGTAAAAATTATTTTATTTTTTATTTAATATAATTCTATTAATGATCGGGTTAATCAAACTTCACATTAGTAATGAATATAATCAAATTTTCTCTACTTAAGAATAGTGCTTGTCTTGTTCAATAGTACACGATTAAATATAAAATAATCTTAATTTAAAATTAATTGTATTTTTATAGTTATTTTTCTATTGAATAGATAATTAGCCATTTGATTTTAACCAGAAAGTAGAGTAAATGTTTAACAAACAAAGTCATTCTAATTTCATTATTATTTTTATATTTTTATAATTTTTAATTTTGTTAACTATATTTTTAAGAAAATATTTCTCAAAGACCAAATAAAAATAATTCTTAAATTCCAAGAAAAAAACTTATAGTCAAATTATATTTAAAAAATAATTCAAGTAGGCATATTTTCAAGTAAATTCCTCTAAAAATCTTCAACCAAATTCACACAAATAAAATCCCCAAATAATTCTTCAAGTAAAAAAATTTTCAAGTAAATCCTCAAGAAATAAATTTCCAACAAAATTCGTGGAACATAAATCCCCCAGATAATATCAGATATAAAATTACTTCTAGATAAATTTTCAAGTAATTATTCCTAGCTAAATATGCAAATAATTTTATCTAGCGATTTTCATACTAAATAGATTTTTTTTTTAAAAAAAAATCATTACTTGCGAATTTACTTATGAAAATGATACTTGCAATCGGTTTCCCCAAATAATTTCTCAGGTAATAATTTTACGAAAATGTCGCCAAATTTACCTACCGATTTTTCTAGGGAAATATTTTCCCCATGTAAAAAAACTAAAATTTAGGAATTTCTTATTTCCCCATGAAAATTCGTAGGAAATTTCTACGAAAATAATCCCCAAGTAAAATCTCTAAGTAATTTACCATTTTCTAGTTGTGAAATGCCACTTCTTCCCGTCGCATCCTTCTTAAGGACGATATAACCATAAAGATGCACAAGAGAAAAGAAGTTACAAATTGATAGATAAATTCTAAAAAATATAAAATAGATAGTAATTCACACCTTCAATACATTACATCAATGCAAATAAAGAGTCTTAAAACGGGTTGAAATTGGAGATTAAATTGGGTTCAATTGATGATTCACTTAGACCATATTAATACATAACATAATAATTTAAATACAAGATAACAATACAATATAATACATAACATAATAATTTAAATACAAGATAACAATACAATATAATACATAACATAATAATTTAAATACAAGATAACAATACAATATAATACATAACATAATAATTTAAATACAAGATAACAATACAATATAATACATAACATAATAATTTAAATACAAGATAACAATACAATATAATACATAACATAATAATTTAAATACAAGATAACAATACAATATAATACATAACATAATAATTTAAATACAAGATAACAATACAATATAATACATAACATAATAATTTAAATACAAGATAACAATACAATATAATACATAACATAATAATTTAAATACAAGATAAAATACAATACATAGCATAATAATTAATTGATCACAACGATAATTTAGAAATATGGTAGGTCGTTTCCAGATTTAGCACTATTCAGAAAAAAATTAGGATATGTTTTCAAGAATTGTTGTGATTGTAGTTGTGACTACAGTTGTGATGATATACAATATGGGTTATTATTTAGCTGATGATATATATCCTAAATGGTCTACAATTGTTCAAACTATTCGTGATCCTCATTCCCAACAAAAGAAATATTTCGCGATGAAACAAGAATTGTGCCGAAAAGATGTTGAACGTGCATTCGGAGTTTTGCAATTATTGCAGGACTGTCACGTTTTTGGAGAAAGGAAGTGCTACATGATATAATGACTACATGTATTATACTGCACAACAGATCTCAATGCACCAATTCAAGATTCCGTAGAGGCTCCAACTCCAACTATAGAAATGGTGATAGATGAAAATCTCCGGTTTGAACAATTTTTAGCTAGACATAAAAAAATTAAGGACAAAAATGCTCATATTGAACTCCGTAATGCATTAATAGAGCATTTATGCGAGCAACGTAATAATTTTGAAAATTGAGTGTTTATGTAATTGTATGTCACTTTTATTTGAATTTTATCCCCTAATTTTATGTATTATATTATATTTTCTTGCAATTTATGTTATTTAAAAATTTAGAATAAAAAATAATTTTATATCACATTAAAAATTATATAAAGTAATTATTTGGAAAAAAGAAATAAAGGATTTATATTATGAAATAAGAAAATAAGAATGAAATAGAAATAATAATATAATATTGAGGAGAGAGAAAAAGATTCCTTTTTAGAGAGTAAAATAGAGAATTGGGTTGGAGTTGGTTGTCTGGAAAAAAATAGAGAACTCTATATTTGGAGAGTAAAATAGGGGATTGGGTTGGAGATGCCCTTAAAATGAGTTAAGGTTTGAATGAGTTGAGATAGACCCCAACTCAAATTATTTTGAGCTCAACCCTTAAAATTTTGAACGAATCACCTATAATTGGGCTCATTTTTGACACTTCTAATTATAAATAACTTATCATATCTAGCAAAACAATTTATTGAAAAACCTGAAATCTAAATGTTGTACTTGTTTATTTCGCTTTGAATGAGAAAAACCAATCAGTTTGAAAAGCAAATAACTCATTAAAACCTCAAAAAAACTTATCCGCATTGGGTGTATATACTTAATTAATGCGATTTTTTTAATTATGTGATTTAATGAAGTAAAACACATGTTAATTAATTATGATTAAATAAAATGAACTATAAATTTAAACACATGACATGTATGTATTTATTTGATATGTACACCCAGTGCGGGTAAGTTTTATCCTGTGAACAGCTATTTCAAGAACATAATATTGAAATCAGGACTGGTTAGTCAGAGTGTAAGAGTAATAATGACAAGAAACCATACAATTTTATATAGTTAAACAGTTCATTCTTTGGTATATAAACAGTTAAAAATTAGTTATTTTGAATGAAGAAACTTCTTAAAGATGAGAATTTACTTCTAAGTTGTTTATTGAACAAAAGATATTTCTCTTCAAGTACTACTAACATTTCCATCCTTTTAATGCTGGATTTCAATAATGCAGTTAGGATTGCAATAACAACAATGCCTCAATCCTAAACAGGTTGAGGTTAGCTATTCTAATTCTCACAAAACCATGATGCTCCATTCTATGCTTCAATCCTAAACAAGTTGAGCTTGGCTATACGATCAATCTGTCAAAACTGAACTTGATGTCCTCAATGCTGGAAAATGAGTTCAATGTCTGAGTTGATATTGATTCAGGAGAAACATCAACGTCATCATCATCCTGATGGACAATTAGAGCTCAACGTATATATCAACTATTCTTGAACCATATATAATTGAGGAGATAGTTGTTGGAAAAATAATTCTAGTATCTCAAAAAGACTTGTTTATATTATTATCAGGCTGTCCCCCAATTTTTGTTTTTAAAAAATACTATACATATTACTTAAAATTATATGTATTTTTAAATTGAAAAAAACATGTAAGAAGTATAAAAAATAATAATAATAATAATCTTAGCTTATTCCATTGCTCCGGTAACAGACCTTAATGAATTTTACTAGCAAATTCTAGATAAAGGAAGATCTTAGCTTATTCCATTGCTCGGATAAGTTGTTCAACTTGGACGTAGTTATTCTCATCAGAACTTTCTCTTTGTTTCGCTGAACTTCTTTCTTCTTCACCAAAGATATCATCTGTTCTATCTCTGCTTTGTCTTTCTCCACAGCCTCCAATTGTATCTTCAATTCCTTTTCCTTGTTCTCGAGTTGTTCGTATCTGACCTTGAGGCTCTCTTCATCTTCCACTGAAGTCTTCACCAAGTCTCTAGTATTCTCCATTTCAGCAGAGGACTTCTGACTGCACATTTGGAATCGAGAATATTCTCTCCAGCTACTCACGAGAGCAGGAAAATTGAACGAGAGTCCAATTATTTGTTCGGCTTGTTCTTTTGAAAACAAAGAGAGGTTGTCTTCTAGGATGGATAATGCTTTTTCCATGGAGCTTTCATTTTCAGGTTCGCTAAGATCCTCCAGAGGTAACATGATCAATTTGTCAAAACTTAACTTGATGTCCTCAATGCTGGAAAATGAGTTCAATGTCTGAGTTGATATTGATTCAGGAGAAACATCAACGTCATCATCATCCTGATGGACAATTAGAGCTCAACGTATATATCAACTATTCTTGAACCATATATAATTGAGGAGATAGTTGTTGGAAAAATAATTCTAGCATCTCAAATAGACTTGTTTATATTATTGTCAGGGCCGTTCCCCAATTTTTGTTTCAAAAAAAATACTATACATATTACTTAAAATTATATGTATTTTTAAATTGAAAAAAAACATGTAAGAAGTATAAAAAAAAACAAAATAATCGTTAGTTTTCCCCACTTTTCAAAGGGAATGAAACATTTTTTGAAAATAATTTCCTAAATGGGAAATTGTGTTTCCATATTTATCTCCTAAAAAATTGACCTTATATTATTATTTACCTTATACTTATCTTTTTTATTCTCTATTTTATTGTTTTTATTCTCAATATTGAACTCTATTCTAAAAAAATATGATTTATTGTTGCTTACAAGTTAAGAAAGAACAAAATTTGCTTTTGAGTGTCTTCTTCAAAATCTTAAGAAGTGCAACAGACAATTATTATATTGAAGGAACGCAACACTATTTCAATATTGTTATATCAACTTATCAAATTCGTGAGCCAGATTTTATTATTCTAACTTTATTTTATAATTTTTCTTGAACTTTTGTTATTGTTGATATTCTTAGTTAGTAAGTATATATATTCTCGTTTTAGTTATATTAAGAGATGTAATACAAGTAGAAGATAATGATTTAATGGAAATACTTAATCAAATAAAAAAAACTTGATTCTTTTCCTAATGCATATATTGCTTATAGAATAATATTAACAATTCTTGTAACTATTGCCTCGGCCGAAAGAAGTTTTTGAAAACTAAAATTGATATATCTTATCTAAGATTAAAATTGTGAAATTGAATGCATTAGCTATATTATCAATTAAAAATGAATTACTAAAACAAATAGATTAGAAAAACAATAATTAATGACTTCACATCTAAAAAGGCTAGAAAAATAAATTTCAAATAAATATATACATGATTATATTTTTTTGAAAAAAATATTAGGGCCCCTCTTTAAGGTTTGACTTTAGGCCTCCAATCTTGTTGAACCGACCCTGATTATTGTCTAAGGTTTACTTCTTCATTCCTTATTAATGAGTATGTTAGTTAGTATATTTCTACCACAAGTATTTGAGATCAATGAATGATTTTGACTTGGTCTCATTGCAATAAATTAGCTGTTACCATTCTCAAATTGCCAACTATATCATACCCTTTCATTATCCTAATTAATTCTCCTATCAATCAATAGCCAATTACTTATTCGGAGGCTTTGTGGAATTGAGATATAAATGTGGTCTTCCTCTATCACAATGTGGTAGGAACAATATATATTTTGAGGGTAAATCTTTCCTCTTATATTCTATTGGTGTGCTGGTTTTTGTTCTTTAAATCTTTGTTAGTTTTATGCTAGATCGAAGAGCTTGTGGGGATACACCCATATACCGGGTGTAATATCCTTAAGGACAATGTCTTTCGACACGCCTCAAGCTATGAGAATTTCCTATGAGAGTTATTAGTGAAGTACAATCTTTGGTGAATTCGGTACAAGTGTTTGTGATGAAGGTATTTTCTGTAAGATTTACATAAGCTTACCGTCATTGAATTGAGAATATTATTGTTCTGTATTTCTGTAGTCTGTTCTTCAAAATGAGTCTCTTTCTCCTGACATGTCTTCGCCTTACAATTACGTGACTCCTTAGGCTGACTGGAAGAATGTGAGTTGAGTCTCTTTCTCCTGACATGTCGAGTTACAACAATGTTTTTGAGTCTCTTTCTCCTGACACTCCCGTCCGTTGAAGCATCATCAATTCGGACACATGATTTGGACTTTGAACACCTTTTGGGATATGGCCATGTGTTAATTCCAATCTTCTTCAATTTTCGCATAAACGTAGACACACTAACTGCAGCACCAACAAGAAGAATAAAATGAAAATTCAATTAGTACAACTTTATCGATTAGTCATGTTATACCTCCAAATGTAGCAGCAGCGTCTTCGCGTTTCTGGCCATATTGTTCTTCAATTTTTTGACGACTAATCCATTTACCGCCCAACAGTACTGCATTTTTTGATTCTCCATTTGAGGAACCTTGAACCATTTTACAAATTCTTCTCTACTAATATATTTTTTTTTTCTAGTCTAGTAGTATATATAACAAAAAAAAAACAGACTTGGTAACCAGACAAGTTGATCGACCAACCAAAATTAATGACTTCATTTGACACTTTCCACCACTTTTTTATTTTTTTGAATATGTGAACGTTTTCACATGGAGTTTTGTAATATTAAAACTATAAGAATATCAGCTTCTATATTTATTTTCAACGATTGACACTTTTCAATTTCCTTATTAGGCTTGAACGTTGTCATATGTCAATTTTTATTCAAAATTATACATATATTACTTGACGCACGCTAACAAAAATAATTTTAGCGGTAATAAATATTTACATTAATAAAGACTAGTAAAATCTTTACTAACATTAGTTAATTGTAATTGGATTCAATGTCACTATAGGCTTTAGAAACATTTACAAATAGTATTAATTACTTCTAAAAATACATATTTAGCAACAATTAAACTATGATAGTTAATTAATTGTCGACAAAGATTTTATTGTAGGGACACTTTTTATGCATCGAGTTTATTCGACGCCTTTCATTTTCCTTTGACTTGAACGTTTTCATGTTGAACTCCTAACTTGAATGTTAAATTACTATAATATCCTTAACTTAGGTTGTGGCTTTTCCGATAAGTTGTGATTTTTTTCAAAGGGCTGTGATTTTTCGATGAGTTGTGACTTTCGGAAAGGTCATTATTCATCAATGCTACACAACAAATATCGTCTATAAGGTAATATTAGTGAGATAACAACTAATTACATGATTGAACTTCATCAAATTGAAATAAATATATACATTTTCATATTGTATTTAACTAATAAAAAATTTCATTGATGATCTTCATATAGGTTTCGCGTGAATAAGAGATATAAATAATGATCCACAATAAACATTCACAAAAGAATATGCAATATTATTTTGTGCTAAGCTTAGTATTCAAATCTTTGCCTAAATAAGCAAGTACTAACTATAGCATATATTTTTTGAATTGGTAATCACGTGCAACACACGTGTCAAAAATTTAGTATTTAACAAAATCACGATCAAACAAAAAGTTATTTGAATCTCAAAATTTGAAAAGTGTCACATAAAATTAGAACAGGGAAAACTGTAACTTTTTACATCTATATTAGATTTATGGGGCATTTGCTTAGTTTCCCCAAACATCAAACCAAACCTGAACCAAAAGCTAAAATTCAATTGGGATGGCCTTATTGTTACTTATCAAAGCAAGATCTATTTGTGTGACACCGTCATTGGTAAACAATTAAACATATATGAGAGAGAAGTGTTGAAAACATTCCTAAATTCGACATGAATTATTAATTTCATTCTCGAACTATTGAAAGCCTTAAAAATATCTATCTACTTGACGAACTGAACTTAAATACACCCCAAGCTTGCAACATGAGTGAAATACACCACTAATTTCTCATCAAGTTTAGGGGTGTTTTCAACATTTTCTCGACTTTTTATTAAGAGTCTCATGCTCCTATAAGAGTATGAAACCACTTGTTATGTCATGTTGGCAAACTTATCAATGACTATAGTCATAGTGATCTTCCTATTCAACTACCAAAGGTTGAATCGATCATTAGAAGAAGAATTAGGCAAAAAATTAGGATACATTCTGAGAAAATAAAACTTTCATCAAAGAGAAGCAAATGAAAGGCGTTCATAAAAATTCTTGTAGATACAAGAATGAAGTTTTCATTCTATACAAGCCATGACTAGTAGTAACAACATAGGGCTATGGAACAAAGGAATATTTCGGACCTAGACCGAGGTATTGATGATGATTTTCTAATCTCGCAGAACAGAATGTGATACGATGAGATCGAATGCAATAGAAACAAAGACAAGAAATGAGTTACCTACTCTTAACGGGCAAAGTGAGGAGGTGTATCTAAGTCTATTTAGTCAAATAGAGGGGTGTTCCTAAGGCTGTCAATAGTTCGGGAATAAAATTAATAGTTTGCGTCAAATAGAGGGTTGTTTTCGATACTTCTCTCAACATATATTTATTTTATCTAGAATAGTGGTGGCAAATGGGCGGGTTGGATCAAATTTGGGCGCGTTGAATATGGGTAAACATAAAATGGGTAATAATTCAACCCACCCATATGTCATATTGGTAAAAATGAATTGGGTAACAAATGGATTGGATAAAATACAAGTTTACCCTATCTTCATGAGTAATTAGTACTCTATTTTAGACTTTAAAGTGCAAAAAATATTTTAGTATTTTTTTGGATGAAAAATGTTGAAAATACTTTATTTAGTTTTATTGTATCATAAAAGTAAAAAAAAGAAAAGCGAAATGGTCTGATGAATCTTTATATGTATGCAATTGTATTCTGAACCCTCCCACTTAACACTTTATCAACTAAACCCTTAAACTCGTTAGAACACTCTATTTTAAACATTTTTCTCATAAGATCTTTGTGTGTGTAATCCAACCTCTTACACATGTAATTCCATGTCATTTTTCAATGATATGTCAGAAATTAAATATTAAGAAAATAAAAAATCAAATATTTAACTTTGTAAATTTTGAATTTTTTTTAAATAGTCATGTTCTTCAATCTTCATATAAGTTTACAATTTGAGCACCTATTCATGTCAAATAGATGAAATTCTTCTTTATTTGACTTGAAATTTCAACTTCAAGTTCACTAACACAAATCCAACGGGCCCCAATCATGAATTTGAATTAATTTCACAAATTCATAAGACCCATTTGTTGTTCTTCAAGTTTATCAATGGAGTTTTCAACTTTTTTTCCAATACCTACCATTACCCTTTACGTTAATGCATATCATACCTCCTCTTTGAATCTAACTAACACAAACAATGGTTTCAACTTTCAAAATAAAAAAGACTAAGAATTTAGTAAAATTGAGGCTGAAAAAAGAAATTAATGGCGGGTTTTTTATTTGTTGCAAAGAAGAGAGTGGATTGAAGAAGAAAAAGAAAGTGTATGACGGGTG